CTACCTAGCAACAACTAAAACATCGGTGCCTTATCAACATTGTTCTCATCCTAAATCCAAAACACAGCACTGTACCAGCTACTAGGAAGGAAATTAACTCTATCCCTGCCGAAACCAGGACAATTCTGGGCTGTCTCTTTTTACATTGTTGTAAAATATGATGGCCGTGTGTAAAAGTATAGAAAGATGCTAAATTTTTTCCTTGCATTCGTGCAAAGGAACTGGACCTCCTGGGGAAACCTGTCTCTGTCCCTAGGAATGGGATGAAAAATGGAAAGCTCGTGTGACTCAGTTTCTCCAAAATCTTTTCAAAATTGGCCTGTTTGGCCTGACATTTGGGCTCGCTTTTATTCTTTCCTTTTAAATGTGGTTTTCTGCTAAGGCTTAATTTCGTCTTTCTGTGTTAAGCATGGATTTTCGAATTCCCTGTCCGCATTAGCCTGTTCAGGGGAGCTTCACTTTCCAGCCTTGCCGTTTTAGAGTAGTTTCAGCTATATATCAATGTCTAAGAATGGGAAGAATGTATTTACACCTGTGGAAGTACTAGGCAGTTGCTCCAAAGGTCTGTTTTCTACTTTAGAAACCAGTAAATGCTCAGGATCTTCAAAGAAAGGAAGAGAAGGACACTATTTCCAAGAGGGATAGAGGTAGGAGATGTTTTTACCAGGTATTTAAATTTAATGACTTACCTGTAGGTGAATGAAAACACAGTTGGAGACATGGGAAATGAGTTGGTGATGAACTATGGATTACCTGGGCATTGGGGATTAACCAGTTGGGCTTTTTGGAGTGATGTGAGGGATGTTTCTGGCAAGCTGACTTGTCAGACCACTTGTGGCTGTCATGAAAGTGGCCTGTAAACAGCACTATGGAAATAATTTTACAAAATACTATGTGCCCCCCAAAGAGTTAATATCCATCTCTCTGCTGCTTTTCTTGCTATGGAGGCAGGTATGTGTGTTTTGGGGACATCCTACATTTGCTTGTTTCAGGTCTTCTCCAGAAGCAAATATCCTGGCTAGACACAGGACCATTAGTAAATAATCAGCGTGTCTTCTTGGTGATGGAGATGAGTCTCATTTCTGATGCAAGTGAAGACGTAACCAGAGAGGAGGAGTTTTTGCCATGTCTAGTAATTCTAAGGGTTATCTTTTCACGCTGAAATCCATAATTCTCTCTCACAGTCAGAGTAGCTTCTAAAATTATTGGTGCAAACAGGAAGTATTCCACATTTTCCGGCAGTTTCACAGTCCACCTTGTGCTGCGTATAATCTTCTCAATGAGCACATGAAACACTACAAAAAGCCTCAGTTCAATTAATTTCAATTAATGGATTCAATTCAATTAATTAAATCTGAAGATCTTATTCCATCTTAAGTCTTCTTACAAAAAAAGATTAAATCTAAAAGAAAAATTAGGTGTCTTCAACAGTTTTTCTTCCAAAATGGTACTTCTGCTTGTTTTTCACAATAGGAATTTGTTTCTTTCAAAAACAATCCTTGGTTTTCATTCCCTAGGATAGGACCTGTATAGGACCTAGGGTAGAGGACTAGAAGAAATCTTGAACCCATTCCTTTACACTTATAGGGAACCACAATATATAATCCCATGTATTAATTTCAAGTTTCTTCTTAAACGTTTTTGTTTTGGTTTTTTTTTGCCTTGACTAGTCTTACTGACAAACCGATTCAAGTATTACCTTCCTTTGATGGTCAAAAACCTTTTAACCTAAACTTTTCGAGGCCATTTTTTATCCTCTTATTCTATGTTTAGCCATCTTCTAGTGCATTTATAGCAGGCAATTATGTCTCTTCTTCAGCTTAGTTTTA